TCATACTCTGTCTGGTCACAGTAGCTGTGGTGATCTACATGGTGTAAGTGTACAACTGACACAACTACTCATTCATCATACTCTGTCTGGTCATCGTGACTGTGGTGGTGTGCATGGTGTAAGACTACAGTTGACACAACTACTCTTTCATCATACTCTATCTGGTCATAGTGACTGTGGTGGTCTGCATGGTGTAAGTGTACAGCTGATACAACTACTCATTCATCATACTCTGTCTGGTCACAGTAGCTGTGGTGATCTACATGGTGTAAGTGTACAGCTGACACCACTACTGATTCATCATACTCTGTCTGGTCACAGTGGCTGTGGTGGTCTACATGGTGTAAGTGAACCGCTGACACAACTACTCATTCATCATACTCTGTCTGGTCACAGTGGCTGTGGTGGTCTATATAATGTAAGTGTACAGCTGACACAACTACTCATTCATCATACTCTGTCTGGTCTTAGTGGCTGTTGTGGTCTTCATCGTGTAAGAGTGCAGTTGACACAACTACTCATTCATCGTCTTCTGTCGGGTCATAGTGACTGTGGTGATCTGCATGGTGTAAGACTACAGTTGTCACAACTACTCATTCATCATACTCTGTCTGGTCAGGGTTGTTGTGATGGTCTACATGGTATAAGTATACAGCTGACACAACTACTCATTCATCATACTCTGTCTGGTCACAGTGACTGTGGTGGTCTGCATGGTGTAAGTGTACAGCTGACACAACTACTCATTCATCATACTCTGTCTGGTCATAGAGGCTGTGGTGATCTGCAAGGGGTAAGTGTACAGCTGAAACAACTACTTATTGATCATACTCTGTCTGGTCATAGTGGCTGTGGTTGTCTACATAACGTAAGTGTACAGCTGACACAACTACTCATTCATCATACTCCGTCTGGTCACAGTGACTGTGGTGATCTGCATGGGGTAAGTGTACAGCTGACACAACTACTCATTCATCATACTCTGTTTGGTCATAGTGGCTGTGGTGGTCTACATAGTGTAAGTGTACAGGTGACACAACTACTCATTCATCATACTCTGTCTGGTCATAGTCGCTGTGGTGGTCTGCAAAGTGTAAGTGTACAGATGTTACAACTACTCATTCATCGTACTCTGTCTGGTCAGAGTTGCTGTGATGGTCTACATGGTGTAAGTGTACAGCTGACACAACTACTCATTCATCATACTCTGTCTGGTCATAGTGGCTGTTGTGGTCTTCATGGTGTAAGTGTACAGCTGACACAGCTACTCATTCATCATATTCTGTCTGGTCATAGTGGCTGTGGTGGTCTGCATGGTGTAAGTGTACAGCTGACACAACTACTCATTCATCATATTCTGTCTGGTCATAGTGGCTGTGGTGGTCTGCATGGTGTCAGACTACAGTTGACACAACTACTCTTTCATCATATTCTATCAGGTCATAGTGACTGTGGTGGTCTGCATGGTGTAAGGGTACAGCTGACACAACTACTCATTCATCATACTATGTCTCGTCATAGTGCTGTGGTTGTCTACATGGTGTAATTGTTCAACTGACACACCTTCTAATTCATCATCCTCTGTCTTGTCATAGTGGCTGTTGTGGTCTTCATGGTGTAAGTGTACAGCTGACACAACTACTCATTCATCATATTCTGTCTGGTCATAGTGGCTGTGGTGGTCTGCATGGTGTAAGTGTACAGCTGACACAATTACTCATTCATCATATTCTGTCTGGTCATAGTGGCTGTGGTGGTCTGCATGGTGTCAGACTACAGTTGACACAACTACTCTTTCATCATATTCTATCTGGTCATAGTGACTGTGGTGGTCTGCATGGTGTAAGGGTACAGCTGACACAACTACTCATTCATCATACTATGTCTCGTCATAGTGCTGTGGTTGTCTACATGGTGTAATTGTTCAACTGACACACCTTCTAATTCATCATCCTCTGTCTTGTCATAGGGACTGTGGTAGTCTGCATGGTGTAAGTGTACAGCTGATACAACTACTCATTCATCATGCTCTGTCTGGTCAGAGTTGCTGTGATGGTTTACATAGTGTAAGTGTACAGCTGACACAACTACTCATTCATCATCCTCTTTCTGATCATAGTGGCTGTGGTGATCTGCATGGTGTAAGTGTACAGCTGACACAACTGCCCATTCATCATACTCTGTCTGGTCACAGTAGCTGTGGTGATCTACATGGTGTAAGTGTACAACTGACACAACTACTCATTCATCATACTCTGTCTGGTCATCGTGACTGTGGTGGTGTGCATGGTGTAAGACTACAGTTGACACAACTACTCTTTCATCATACTCTATCTGGTCATAGTGACTGTGGTGGTCTGCATGGTGTAAGTGTACAGCTGATACAACTACTCATTCATCATACTCTGTCTGGTCACAGTAGCTGTGGTGATCTACATGGTGTAAGTGTACAGCTGACACCACTACTGATTCATCATACTCTGTCTGGTCACAGTGGCTGTGGTGGTCTACATGGTGTAAGTGAACCGCTGACACAACTACTCATTCATCATACTCTGTCTGGTCACAGTGGCTGTGGTGGTCTATATAATGTAAGTGTACAGCTGACACAACTACTCATTCATCATACTCTGTCTGGTCTTAGTGGCTGTTGTGGTCTTCATCGTGTAAGAGTGCAGTTGACACAACTACTCATTCATCGTCTTCTGTCGGGTCATAGTGACTGTGGTGATCTGCATGGTGTAAGACTACAGTTGTCACAACTACTCATTCATCATACTCTGTCTGGTCAGGGTTGTTGTGATGGTCTACATGGTATAAGTATACAGCTGACACAACTACTCATTCATCATACTCTGTCTGGTCACAGTGACTGTGGTGGTCTGCATGGTGTAAGTGTACAGCTGACACAACTACTCATTCATCATACTCTGTCTGGTCATAGAGGCTGTGGTGATCTGCAAGGGGTAAGTGTACAGCTGAAACAACTACTTATTGATCATACTCTGTCTGGTCATAGTGGCTGTGGTTGTCTACATAACGTAAGTGTACAGCTGACACAACTACTCATTCATCATACTCCGTCTGGTCACAGTGACTGTGGTGATCTGCATGGGGTAAGTGTACAGCTGACACAACTACTCATTCATCATACTCTGTTTGGTCATAGTGGCTGTGGTGGTCTACATAGTGTAAGTGTACAGGTGACACAACTACTCATTCATCATACTCTGTCTGGTCATAGTCGCTGTGGTGGTCTGCAAAGTGTAAGTGTACAGCTGTTACAACTACTCATTCATCGTACTCTGTCTGGTCAGAGTTGCTGTGATGGTCTACATGGTGTAAGTGTACAGCTGACACAACTACTCATTCATCATACTCTGTCTGGTCATAGTGGCTGTTGTGGTCTTCATGGTGTAAGTGTACAGCTGACACAGCTACTCATTCATCATATTCTGTCTGGTCATAGTGGCTGTGGTGGTCTGCATGGTGTAAGTGTACAGCTGACACAACTACTCATTCATCATATTCTGTCTGGTCATAGTGGCTGTGGTGGTCTGCATGGTGTCAGACTACAGTTGACACAACTACTCTTTCATCATATTCTATCAGGTCATAGTGACTGTGGTGGTCTGCATGGTGTAAGGGTACAGCTGACACAACTACTCATTCATCATACTATGTCTCGTCATAGTGCTGTGGTTGTCTACATGGTGTAATTGTTCAACTGACACACCTTCTAATTCATCATCCTCTGTCTTGTCATAGGGACTGTGGTAGTCTGCATGGTGTAAGTGTACAGCTGATACAACTACTCATTCATCATGCTCTGTCTGGTCAGAGTTGCTGTGATGGTTTACATAGTGTAAGTGTACAGCTGACACAACTACTCATTCATCATCCTCTTTCTGATCATAGTGGCTGTGGTGATCTGCATGGTGTAAGTGTACAGCTGACACAACTGCCCATTCATCATACTCTGTCTGGTCACAGTAGCTGTGGTGATCTACATGGTGTACGTGTACAACTGACACAACTACTCATTCATCATACTCTGTCTGGTCATCGTGACTGTGGTGGTCTGCATGGTGTAAGACTACAGTTGACACAACTACTCATTCATCATACTCTGTCTGGTCACAGTAGCTGTGGTGATCTACATGGTGTAAGTGTACAGCTGACACAACTAGTCATTGATCATACTCTGTCTGGTCATAGTGGCTGTGGTGATCTGCATGGTGTAAGGGTACAGCTGACACAACTACTAATTCATCATACTCTGTCTGGTCTCAGTGGCTGTGGTTGTCTACATAATGTAAGTGTACAGCTGACACAACTACTCATTCCTCATACTCTGTCTGGTAAGAGTTCCTGTGGTGATCTACATGGAGTAAGTGTACAGCTGACACAACTACTCATTCATCATACTCTGTCTGGTCATATTGGCTGTGGTAGTCTGCATGATGTAAGTGGACCGCTCACACAACTACCCATTCATCATACTCTGTCTAGTCACTGCGGCTGTTGTAGTCTTCATGGTGTAAGTGTACAGCTGACACAACTACTCATTCACCATCCTCTGTCTGGTCAGAGTTCCTGTGGTGGTCTACATAATGTAAGTGTACAGCTGACACAACTACTCATTCATCATACTCTGTCTGATGAAAGTGACTGTGGTGGTCTGCATGGTATAAGTATACAGCTGACACAACTACTCATTCATCATACTCTGTTTGGTCATAGTGGCTGTGTTAGTCTGCATGGTGTAAGTGTACAGTTGACAGAACTACGTGTTTATACTGGGAACCAACAGCGGAGTAGCTTTCCACTGTCTTCACTACAACCATAGCTTCAAGTTCCATCAGTAAAGAAGATATGTTCCATGTCTAAAACTTAAAAATACCGGAAACGGAAAAAAAACATATTTAAATATTCAAACATAATCAAATACCGTTCACGATTGAATTTTAGAAGGTTCTAATAAATGTGTTTCTTGGCAGGCGAAAACGGAAGAAGAGAAGAAAAGCCAACATTGAGAGCAGGTAATATCAGAATGAAAGATTATGCAACATCGTTCCCAATACTTTATAACAGACCCTTCACGCTTTCTCTCCCAGTATGAACATAAACTGTCTGACAAAGGATACAGAATACATCCCCTGCATACTGTAGAAAATCTGCATTTAGGAAGCAGAGGAAACAATTTTAACTTGACAATTCATTTCACTGATTTACGTGTACCAAAATAGAAATCATCGACCCATTATGATTGTCAACTTTTCTACTTGCAGGTTTCAAGAAGAAGGTAAGTATGTCAGTGAAGCTGGAATATGACTCGTGTAGTATTATTTGCGTCTTCCCTTGACTTTGCCTTCTTCTGACGTTTAACATATACTCTTCAAAACAAGAAACTTGACATGCTGTTTTGGAGTTTATTTGCTGAGTGAACCACATTCAATGCACCTGCCACGTGCACAAGTGGTGTCCTGCCATTAGGATGGATACCTACCCACACCCTGACACTTTCACCACCAAATCTTTCGACCTGCTGTACACAGTTATCGGCGTAACGTTCGTTCATACGTAAACATCCACTAGCACGTCTGAGAAGAAACCGAGCCTCATCTGAGAACAAAAGTGTCCTCCATCTTGCCTGCGGCCATTCCACTCGTTGTCGGCACCATTGTAGACGGTCAGCACGGTGACGTTGTGTCGCGGTCTTCTGGCAAAAAGTCCGGCTACCCATAGCCGACAGCGCACTGTCTGGCCGAAGATTCAGCTCAGTCTAGGTATATGGCTTTTTGAGGATACTGCGTGAACGAGGATGTCTCTCCAGATGTTCCGATCCTGGGCGGCGGTGATAACTCTAGGTCGACCTGACCTGGGTCTGTCATTAACACTCCCAGTATTGTTGTACCGGATCCACAGGTTGGAGATGGTCTGTCTGGACACGTCGAAGTACCTTGCCACCTCATGCTGCGATGCCCCTCCATGTAAATGGCCGATGGCGTTGTGTCGTTGAGCTTCTGTCAGTCTCTTCATTCTTTTTGTCGTCTATAGTAGCTTAAAGCAATGCATGTGGAGTACCATTGGTGTGGCTTTTTACAGCTTACAGTCACAGGCTTCAGCTCTGGGTGATACATAATTTCATGATGCACCTGCCTTTCATGTTGGGTGCGTTTTAGCGATTCACTACAAACGTGAGTGTAGTTTCAACGTATTTGGTCAACGTTTCTTTCATTCAAAGTTGTGTCTTCGGCAACCATTCATCCACATGTTGGGATTCACCATGAACTGGTTTGTGTCAAATATTTTTCTAAAGTTCAAATTGTTTCTTTGTCAAGTTTCTGTTTTTTGAGAGTATATATCGGAGAAATTTGTTCACCTATAGATTATGTTTAGTATCCTAAGATAATATGGAGTGTATATCTCAGCATTACTCAGGATAGGTATGAAGGTTGGGATTAGATTCATAGGTTTGAAATTTGGGAAGTATTAGTTCGTCACAAAGTATTTCTGTGGTTCTTTCTCTCCGCCTGACATGAAATCATAAAACAAATCATGTATGTTTTCTCCACAGTTGTGGGAATTTTGCCCTGGTGTGATATAAAAAGTGAAAAATACAGTTTTCCTTCCCTCCTCGTAAAAGACAAATATCAGCTTGACCTTTATTTACCTTTATCCCTTGATGCCGAGTGTTTTTTCAGGTGCACATTTTCATACGGTTTGAAAAGTGAACGTTGTGCGAGATCTACGTACGGCTAAAACATTACACAGAAATGTAGAATATTAAATTTCCTATCCGTTGGTATAAATATAAGTGCAACTACCTCGGCGTTTTGAGAAATAGACACAGCTACATGTTGTCAAAAACTTTGTTATGCGCTAAAAATAGTAAATTTCTCCGCTTTTTATCGCGCACCGATAAAAGCACTGTGCTACGCATTTTTTAATTTGGCATCTTTACGGAAAGTGTGAGCGAAGAAAATGCAGCCTGATGTCTGAACGACATAAGTGTATATGAATTGGGTGTATGTGCTTATGCATAACGTTATACGCTCAACATTAATAATGACTCGCAATAATGTCAAAAATGGATTTTCTTCTATGACGTCAAACGACGAAAGAGAGGTCATACATGTATAATGATAAGGGGGCATAACTCCGTTATGCTTAACACTAGGTCAATGTAACTCAGATGGCATGGAGGGAATTTGTTGTGGATACGGACGCTATATTTTCGTTATTGTTTGTTCGCGGTGAACCAAACTATTCCAATTCAAAGTTCCCCGAGGTGAGTGGATACGCTTTGGTAGTTTCACAATTTATAAGAAAAGATGACAACGTACTACATGTGAAAGCACGTAATAGCAATTTCGATGGCCCTATCCGATATATAAGTTAGTTCTTAGATTCCCATATTCTCCTGTTTATGTAGATGTATTTTGACTGATTTTGCATCGTTATTACTAGAATACTAGCCATATCTTCAAATGTAATGAAATTGCTGAAAATAATTCAACATTTTAGTTGACGTCATTGCTTGTTTTATGCATTTTGCGACGTCGGAAAAAGACGACATCGGTATGCTGATTAGTATATATCTCACCTAATTTCCATTAATTGTATAAAAGGTCTTGGCTTCTATGTCAGAATTTAACAGTCTTTAGACAAACCATAAAGTGACGGATTTTTCCGTTTAAATAGTGTCCTGAATATATCAACAATTAGACGGCTTGACTGTGCATCTTATTGTGAGCAACATGCGCACCTATTTGGCATCATTTAACGTAAATATAAAATGTTATTTCACAACACCCGAATATTTTGTTTAGGATAAGAATTTTCCTTGTTCATGATTATGTAGCTATTTCTCTTCATAAGAATGCATTGAAAGATGCAAAAAGATAGCTTTTTTTATATAGGGAACTATATATTAGAATATGGGTGTAAGATATGTCCAAATCAAGACATGACATGGTTTATATATCTTTAAACACTTTTCGTATAAATATAGTTAGAGTTTAATATCCTGTCATCAAAATATGTTTTAATCGAATATGAATATTTTGGAAGGTCATTTTCAACACTTGTTAATTTTCTAAAATAATAGTGGGTGGTATCAGGAAACAGAACATTTCCCGCAGAATTCGAAACTGTGAAGTATATTTGTGTGCGTGGGATATTTTGATTTTTATTGGACTTCAAAGTGAGGGTTGAAGGGACATATATTTACAGTATTTCACCCTTGAGAATATAATATATGCTGTTTATCGTGTATCGACTCAATAACATATTGACGTTATTTCATCTATGATGGTGTTCTTTATTTTCAGTTCCCTTGGTGGACAAGATTGGGGCAGAAGCTGCCAGTGAGTACAAACTACCGTCAGTTTGCGTTTAATCCCATACTTTCCTGTGATTTACATCACTTTCTGGGTGTATTTGATGTTGTAAAACTTGATGTAAAAGGGGTGATTGAGAAAACAAAAAACATCAACTTTATTCAGGCGTTCTTCTCACAATATTGAATCACCTGTCCATGATATGTGGATATATTGTTTGTTCTTCTACCTAATGGATGGTTACCAAATTGTTAAGTTCCTGTAAAAGTGATTGATTGTTAGGTAAACAGTAAACGATGATGGATACTCTGTCTATTTAGATACAAAAGCAGTCCCAAATCATTCATACGAAACAGGCTTTTCCATGACACTAGTTTAGTGGACAATGTACACAGACTCGGTTAAAGCCTTCTTTCTGACCGCCTCCGTGGTGCAATGGTTAGAGTGTCCACCCGGAGAGCGGATGGTCGCGGGTTCCATCCCCGACCGCGTCATACCAAAAGAGTGAGTGAGTGAGTTTAGTTTAACACCGCACTCAGCAATATTCCAGCGATATGGCGGCAGTCTGTAAATAATCGAGTCTGGACCAGACAATCCAATGAAGAACATTGATCTGCTTAATTGGGAACCAATGACATGTGTCAACCAAGTCAGCGAGCCTGACCTCCCGATCCCCTTAGTCGCCTTTTACGACAAGCATGGGTTACTGAGGGTTCATTCTAACCCGGATCTTCACGGGTACATACCAAAAGAACTTAAAATATGGTACTTGTTGGTCCCTGCCTGCCGCTCGGCATTAAAGGGTGCAACAGGGACTGGTCGGCTCGGAGTCAGTATAATGTGTCTGAGTGGGGTATTCATGTTTCACTGCAGCATGGCATCTCAGTGGGCTAGCACTATAAAACCAGCTTCAGTCTGGGCTAGTACAAGTAGTCACACATACACACGTATGCACGTCGTCATATGAGCGAATATTCTCAAGTACGACGTTAAACCCAGTTTCACCTCACCTCACCTTCTTTCTGACATGTCCACTAGTCAGCCCACTGTAGCACCGAATCATCTGTCCATGATATGTGTATATAGTGTTTGTTCAACTAGCAGACGAATGGTTTCCAAAGGTTTATTTGGTCTTAATTTTCCGTAAAATTAATTGTTTGGTAAACAGTTAATCATCTTGAATAATAATCGATATTCTGTAACATGTGTTATATTTGGGACCCTTCCACTTCCAAGCTGCGATGGCTGAGTGATTTGGATGGCTGACTTTGTGATTTGATGAACTCTGACTCTGAGGGTGAGGGTTCGAATCCCGGATGGGACTCAACCCAGAAAATATACAATAATCTGTACTTTACAAAGAAAGTATAATACCAGTTATAACGTATGTCACATATGAACACTTTCTAAATGGCACCGTGTATTCACCGATGTTCTGTGTGTTAATACATATAACTAGTCCCAAGTCAGTCATACGATACAAGCTGTCTGGGCTGAGGTTGTCCAGGTGTTTCCTGAACTCCCATGACAATAGTTCAGTGAATAATGTATTCTTTCCTTGTTTTTCTAAAAATGAACACGATAAGATATTCTTCGTTAAACGTAAATGAAATTTTACTGAATAGCATATCATCGTTAGCGTTAATTGTTAATGCATGACTTTATTCACGTCATTTTGTCTTGGTCGTAGTAAAAATAAAGAAACCCCTACCCCTTGAATTGAGCGAGTGTACTTGGGTTAGCCATTTCAAAGCATTTCGGTTAGCCAAATTGCGATTTGAACACCTTATGACTTGTAGACGGTATAATAACGAAGAATATATCAGAAATGTACTGAAAACTGGTTCTAGAATGTACCTTTTCTCTGTCAGTGTTCTCTAGATTTCATTTGTTTCACTCTTTCTCCGCAATGCTTCCTTCCAAGAATATGAATTATGCATGACATGTTTATTGAGATTTTGCTAATAGGTCTTATTTCTTTGATCAGGACCGGTGCTTGGTGTGGCTCAACATAACCCAGAATCAGGTATATATGGAAAACTATGATTGATGACAATTCTTGAACAACACGCATATGTTTAAGTCAAATGAAATATATTTACATGGATGTGAAAGAAACATTGACAAATCACTTGCATGGCAAATAAAGTAGCAATACAAATAATTACTTAATGATAATCTCGCTTATTCATTGCCTTGCTTTTACCTCTCAAATGTCTCAAATGAATTCTCTTTCCGTGCAGATCCATTGGGTCAAAAGATAAACAACACAAGAACCCTGTTTGTGGAAACTGAAAGCTTCAAGAAAGTGGAGAGAGATGTTGGATACGTTCCATCATGTGACAATCAGTGGAGCTCCTGGAGCAGGTAAAACATCCATGGCCCTGATGCTGGGAGCTGAATACAGGAAGCAGGGTATGAGCTGGTACTGGTTGAGGATCTTGATAAAGTACAGCTGTCTGACTGGCAGGGCGATGGCAAAGACGTATGTCTGATATTTGATGACATATTTCAGATGGCCGGGCCATATTTCGATGTGCCTCGTCTAACGCATCTTCTGTATGAGCTCCATATGCATCTAACACAGTGTAAGAATAGGCCTGAAAGAAGATATGAGAGTTACCAACAGGAGTCGGGAGAGAAGGAAGGAGAGACAATCAGTCAAACATGTATCTCATATTCACCTCAGATTCCACCATCCTAGAACGTGCAATGTCAAAACTGGAAGGCCAGACATTCAGGTTTTTCAACAGTTGTACAATAGCAGACTTGACCAAAACAAAGTCATTGTCCTACACAGATGAGGAGAAGAATAAAATATGGCTGAAACACAAATCCCATTACAAATATAAAGCAAAGGTCGATGCGATCGGACTTACTGCAAGCGATAAACACGCTATTGGATTTCCTCTAGTATGCAGACTTTTATCTGGTTATGCTGCCTTTCAGGAGAAGCATGAAAACATCTTGGTTAATCCTGTACCGACACTAAAGCTTGAATTTCAGGAGATCATCAGTCGGCGTGGATGACCAGTCAGCTGCTCTGATCCTGGTGCTCCTATGTGACGGGCAGCTGAACATTGGTCAGCTGGAGACAGAATCTGACCCAGGCCTAGAGACTCACCTCCAGGCAGTTCTGACTCTTGTGCCAACAACAAACAGACAGAGTGTAGCTAAAGCTGTCAGGAGTCTTTGTGGTTCATTGTTGACTGAAGGAAACATAACAACATTTTCCCATTCTGTGATTTATGATGTCTGTGTGTTCTGTCTTATACAGCACTGAACCTGAGTTTGTTCGTGAACATTTCAGCATCCAGTTTCTCATGAAACATGTGCAGGATCCACAAACTGACATGATAATTCCTGTCAATGAACACATGCTAGTCATTCATTTCTCGGAGGAATACAGTGGAACACTGGTTGGACAGGATGGTTCACTTTCTTGTCAATGGTGGAGCTTTAAACAAATACATTATGTACCCTATATGGAAAAGAACAGAAGTAGCTGACAGATTATCTCAAATGATCAACAATACAACTTTTCTGTCAGATTATGCCAGGCACAACATTTTCTGTTACGCCTGCTTCACTTGGAACAAATCAATTATGAAAAAACTCCTTCCCCACTGTGACATCAATAGGCCTGGTTTGAATGGCTGGACACCTGTTATGCATGCAGTTGTCTCTGGACAGAAGGAAAGTATAAAATATCTCATGGGCCATAAAGATGCTGCAAAACTAAGTTGCGCCAACAAAGACAGCTTGCTACATGTAGCTAGTGAATACAGGACAGCTTCAGATGTAGATTACCTGCTGAATGACCTGAAATGTGATATCTACAGTCGGGGAGCAGACGGCTGGACACCAGTCACGCGTGCAGTGTTCGCTGGGAAGAAGGATGTATTGGAGGTTTTACGAAACACAAAGGTTTACCAGCTTTCATCATCAAAAAGGCTCTTCATCTGGCATGTGAGTGGGGAAAACTTTCCTAATGGAAACTCTGGTTCATTGACAGATGTTAATTCTCCTGGTAAACATGGCCAGACACCCATAATGTGTGCAGCAGCATAGCTTCAGGAAAGAAGAAAATATTCGACCTTCTTGTGTCACGGAAAGCTGACATCAATCTGAAAGATGATGACAACAACAGCCTCCTCCTTCATTTGGCATGTGAGCCAGACGATACGTCAATTTTACAGACTCTCCTGTCACAGCTTGACATCAACATACCAGGTCAACACGGCTGGACACCGGTGATGAAGGCAGCCGTGAATGGAAGAAAGGATGTATATGACCTGCTTGTGAAGGAGAATGCAGATCTTAAACTGACTGATGACAATGGTAACAATCTCCTCCATCTTGCTTGCCACGGAGGAAATGTCTCCATTGTGAAGAACCTTCTCCCACAATTTGACATCAACAGTCGTGGAGGCAATGGGTGGACGCCGGTGATGTATGCGGTTGTCAATGGACACGAGATTCTGTTCCACTTGCTCGTGTCCGAAGGGGCGGATCTCTCTCTAAGGGATGACTACGACAACTCGGTATTTCATTTAGGATGTCTGGGAGGAAAAAGAGCCATAGTGAAGGATCTACTGCAAAAGGCTGATTTGAACAGTCAGGGAAACCTTGGGAGAACAGGTGTTATGAAGGCGGCTTGGGCAGGCAATGCTGAGGTTTTCAAACTTCTTGTGTCAAAGAACGCTGACCTCAAAACACTTGATGACAACAAAGATACAATACTTCACCTGTCCTGCCAGGGGGGTAAAAGCTCCATTGTGGACTATTTAATAGGGGAAGGTTCTGACATAAATTGTCGTGGAAAACATGGCTGGACAGCGGTGATGAATGCAGCCTGGTGTGGAAAGAAAGCTGCTTTTCATCTACTGTATTCAAAGCAGGTTTCCATGTCTGTAAACAAGCTGTGCCCTGACACAATACTTCACCTGGCGTGTGAAGGAGGAAATATTCCCATTGTTCAATCACTTCTGTCAACATTCGATGTCAACATTCGGGGAAAGAATGGCCGAACTCCAGTAATGGCTGCAGCATGGGCTGGGAAGAATGAAGTGATCGACCTTCTGATGACAATGAATCCTGACCTCAAACTGACTGATCACTACAGCAACAACATTCTCCATCTTGCATGCCGGGGTGGAAATACATCAGTTATTGAGTTTCTCCTGCCGCTGTTTGACATAACCGTTCCTGGAGAAGATGGATTTACACCATTAATGATGGCAGCCTCAGCGGGAAGAAGGAGGCGTACGATCTGCTTGCAACAAGAGGGGCCGCTAAGCCATTGCTTACCTCTAAGGGTGATAATGTTCTTCATGCTGCTTGTCAAGGGGAAATCTGGCCATTGTAAAGGAAGTGGTTGACAGCTTTAACATCAACTGCAGAGGAAAGAATGGCCAGACTCCTTTAATGAGGGCAGTCTGCGGCGGCCACATTGCTGTCTACAAATACCTGGTGTCACGTAGTGCTGACTGTATGCTGGTGGACAAAGATGGACGCACTCTTCTACATCTTGCCAGTCGCCATGGGCAGCTTGCTGTGTTGAAACACATCATTGATGGCTTTGATGTCAACACCCAGGACAATATGGGCTTGACACCTGCCATGACGGCAGTACTGTATGGAAAAGCTGCAGTATTCAAATACCTGAAAGATAAAGGCACAGATTTGTCTATAGTTGACAACACAGGAGACGATGTCCTTTACTCTCGCTCTTAAACTTGGGAGCAGACAAATCATAAAACAACTAGCCAGAAAACATGATAAGAAAGTGACACCATGGAATGAACTGATGAAGTCTCTGGTAAGAGGGAACTAACGTTCCTGAAGACTTACAGTCAGGAGAGTCCAGATCTTGTCCAGAAAGACCAAGCTGGAGACACATTACTTCCATCTGGCCTGTCGAGGAGGCAACAGACACTGTGTGGAGTTCCTGCTCCCGTCCTATGACATCAATGTCCAAGGTCAGTACAACTGGACACCGGTGATGATGGCGGCTGTGTGTGGACATGAGGATGTCTTCAAGCTACTGGTGGATGACAAGGCAGATCTCTCTCAGGTCTCAGCCACAGGAGAGGACATCCTGACTCTAGCTAGCCGGGCGAACAATACAGAAATTATCACATACTTGGAAAACTTGAAAGCATGTGTACAAGCTCCTCCACTACGGACGGGAAAGCGGCGGACAGAAAGCGTAACCTCACAGCAAAGATGTCTCTACGCCGAGGGAATAACAAAGACAATCATCACGTGTTTGGCAGAAAATGAGTGAAATAGAAAGTATGGAACTTCTATCTTTAAAATGTAACTAATCAGCATTGTAAAAGCTTTACCATTCCGGACAGGAAGGGTAGTGACAGACGTAAAGAATGAAATAATCGCCTGTGTAACAAGGTTGGCAAGTACAAAGCACAAAGCTTTTTACGGAAGTCTTGAAAATCCTACCCACAGACGTAAAAAAATAGACACGACAAAATCCTAGATCCTTAAAAATTAGACCTTACATTAACAAAATATGAAAAATCTTAATTGGCAGGGTACAAAGCACAAACGTTTTTACGGAATTCTTGAAAAACCTACCCACTTCTTTTTCTTAAACTAAGAGCATGGAACATGTGATTATAAGTAATCAGCGGTGTAAAAGCTTTACCACGGGACGGGTAGTGACGGACAGAAGCGTAACTGAGCACAAAGTTACATATTTGTGCTCAGTGTTACTATGAAAAGAAATTGTCCTGAAAAAAACTAACATCCTATGATCGTGCGGAAGTACACACACATTGTCCTTTGCACTGTTTGGAGTGGACACAGCCTGACAGGATGTGCGTCAAGATGTTGCTGTAATCAGTGATCCACATGTTAAGTAGCCAGTCTCCATCCTTCACTCATTATATAAATGTCAAATTGTCGACCTCTATTTCAATCAACCCATCCACATCATGAATACAGATAAGCAAGATTGTGTGTGCGTGATGCAACTGTAAATATTTTTCTTGAATATTTGCTTCCAATTTGTGACCCAGTGTATTTGTGAACTTCATGTACATATGATGAGAGTGAAGGAAGTTTAATTTTACGTCATTTTAGCAACATTCCATCCATCACTATCACGATGGGAGACACCAGAAATGGGTTTTGCATATCGTAGCCGTGTGGGATTTCGAACTTGGACCTTCCCCGTGACGAGCGAACACAAAATTCTCGAAAATGTTCATGCAATACAGACCCGTGGAGATCAGTAACCCAGGCTTGTCGAAAGAGGCGACAAACGGGATCAGGTGATCGGGCTCGCTGACTTGGTTGACACATGTCTTCGTATACCAGCTGAGAAGATTGCTGCTCGTGCTGTTGATGGCTGGGTTGTCTGGTCCAAACTCGATTATTTAGATACCGCTCATATGGCTGGAATATAGCTGAGTGCAGAAATTAACCAACCAAGGCATCATGCAATACATTCTTGTACAGTTTTTGCCGCTTTACAATTGAAGAAAAGGGAGGTAGCAGTGATATTAATGTATAATTATGCAGTGTGAATGTTGATGTATATGTATTCACACAGTCAGCGAAGTCGTATTTACTACTTTTATCAGTGTCAGCAGCATACAGTCATGTGTTTATCATTAACGTTAAAGAGTGGCTAATGAAAATAGATGTGGATGAAGTGATGACGTATCAGATGAAGTGACGGAATGCGTGGACCGTAACCTGGCCGTGATTCGTCGCAGGGTGTTATTTATGATGTGTTTTGTGCTGGTGGTGATTTCACCCAGTTTGCAAGCTGGCTGACTGATGCCTCTAAGATTCTGCTTTGTAATTACTATATCACTGTACCCGTTATGGTAGTAGTTGTGTTGATATGACGATTAACATACTGGGACCACCTGAGACCGTTGGAACTCATTGTACAGTCAAACAGTCTAACGGTAATGCGTCAAACATAAATGCTTGGTCCCAGCGCATTCCATCATTTCTTGTTATACTTTGGTTATACCAAACGACAGATCATTATTTTATTAGCTTCCTTGAGCCTCGACACATGTTTAACTGTACAACACAAGAAAGATAATTTGGTATACATTAAAAAACGTGCAAAGACTGAAGAGAGGTAAAGAACAACATTTATATAATCTTTAGGTTTTTCTTCCTATACTCAACCCCCTGTGTGACTTTGTTTGAGTGGCATTCTACAAGTTGGTGGTATAGAGATGACAAGACTTTATTAATGATCAACTTCTTTATTTTGACAATGGCGACGTTTCGGTATAGATTCTTATACCGTTGTCAAGCATATGGGGAATAAAAGAAGTACACCAGTTTATATACAAGATGAGATAAAGTGATAACAATAACAAGGGTGGAAAAACGAAGCACCAAAGAAGGTTACATGATCAGCTACAATAGTATGATGATGAGCTAAGATAACATAAATGAGATGAGTGGGATTACCATGACAATTAGTGACTGTAAGTTAATTAGGCAGAAGCCAATGTGGTGGGGGATGAATTAGTGGGAAGCCAGTGGTGAGGAATGTCAGTTAGGCAGGTGATGAGAAGCCAGAGTGGGTTGAGTGGATAATTATTTGTGGATTAGGTGGTTGTAAGCTGATGGGATGTAATAGCCCTGATCCCTGTTAATAGAGAGGATAAAACGGCCTATTTGTAATGCCTCGGCCCATTTACGTTGAGTGTAATCACGTCTGTTGTTTGTAAGTGTTTTGACAGTGTCCCAGTTGATGCTGTGTTAAGGAAATTTGGCGATGTGTTCCGAAATGGCTGATTTGGTGTCTGCATTGTTTGTGGATGTTGATCGTCCGTTAAGTCTTCTCATCATGCCCTGTGTGACATGTTAGTTTTGTCACGTTGTGTTAAGACGGACAACGTAAAATAATCAGTGTGGCTATCACCATTGAGAGTCAACCCATCACTGAGCATTGTGTTCATGTTGGCTAGTGTTATGTACAATACCAGTATGATCAGTGTGCTTAAGGCGACAAACAGCCATGAATCCTGCTTCATGTTGGTATCATGCGGTTAGAGTAGTACCGTTTGCCCGATGGTATCTTATTAACAGTTTTAAGCACTTCTTAAGATATTGTTGTTATAATATGTACGTCCAAATAGTGATTAAATATAGCATCGCAATGAGCAGGGTACACCTGTATACATGTGTAAACATGATCTCGTCGATCTATGGCTGAAATATAGCCGATATGATGTTAAGTTTTAAACATCTGTGGGAAAACTATAGAGGAACGAGTTTACAGTCAGTTTCTTTTGGTGCTGTTTTGCTTTTTGGGGCACAGATGCGTGGGTGAACAATTCTATTGATTCACTGATATCCATGTAAAGGTGTAAAGCACTTACTGCAAATGTGTTGTATGAATTGTGTGGACGATTCGGTTGTTGATCATGAATAAACGGACTTACATGTCAGCTGAATGTACTAAATGCAACATGTAACTGAGTTTGTCACTTTAGCGTTTTCACGAGTTATATGAAATCACGTGCTTCAGTTTTAATCTATTCTGCAATAAAATACAATTTTCTCCATCAAGTAGTTTCTTTAACTGATTCACTGGCAGCAGGTCAACGCTGCCTAATTAAGGAAGGTAATTACGTGGTGTGACTCAATCCTGTCTGTAGTCATGCTGAGAGTCTTTATAAATGCAGATACATGACATCACAGCAAGCTCTTGTCATGCAGCGTCACAACCCGTTGTACAGTCAGTTAGTCGTGTCAATGGTGTTTACCTGAGGATATACCTGTCTGGTATACCTGCTGCTGTCCTGTACCATCTCCATGACATGTCAATGGTGTTTACCTGAGGATATACCTGTCTGGTATACCTGCTGCTGTCCTGTACCATCTCCATGACATGTCAATGGTGTTTACCTGAGGATATACCTGTCTGGTATACCTGCTGCTGTCCTGTACCATCTCCATGACATGTCAATGGTGTTTACCTGAGGATATACCTGTCTGGTATACCTGCTGCTGTCCTGAGGATACCATCTCCATGACATGTCAATGGTGTTTACCTGAGGATATACCTGTCTGGTATACCTGCTGCTGTCCTGTACCATCTCCATGACATGTCAATGGTGTTTACCTGAGGATATACCTGTCTGGTATACCTGCTGCTGTCCTGTATGACCATCTCCATGACATGTCAATGGTGTTTACCTGAGGATATACCTGTCTGGTATACCTGCTGCTGTCCTGTACCATCTCCATGACATGTCAATGGTGTTTACCTGAGGATATACCTGTCTGGTATACCTGCTGCTGTCCTGTACCATCTCCATGACATGTCAATGGTGTTTACCTGAGGATATACCTGGGTATACCTGCTGTCTGTCCTGCA